CCTTTAATTAGATTTAGTATAGTTATTACAAACCTTTATAAAGGAACTCTAAGGAGTCTGTTTTAGATGGGGTATTTGGAAAAACAAACAAAAAACACGTTTTAATTTGGTAAGGTACCATGATGCTAAATACCTTTGGAATCTGACTTTTCAGAGGAATCTAAAGTTTGATTTTCTTTCACAAATACAATTTGTTGTATAACATCTGAAGACATGATCTGTAGGACTTGAGCAGCAATGCAGAATTTTAGATCATTAGCCATGTGATCCTTGAAATTAAGACAAAGCTATGAGTTTCAGGAACCCTCACCATGTTAGCAAATCAGCACAAGAAGTAGGGTAAATAATAATATTTACAAATCAAGTCTAGACCTAGATTAGAGTCTATATTTTGGGTCAGAGTTGTATCTAATTATTTATATAACATATTCATCTGATGATTTGAAACTGTTTTAATAATACTTTTTTTGAAATGAATATTGATACCATAAAATCCTTTGTATATTTTTTAAATTTAAGTAATCTCTACATACAACATGGGGCTCGACCCCAAGATCAAGCATCACATGCCCTTCCAACTGAGCCAGCGAGACGCCCCAGTCCTTTACTAAAACAAAATTTTTTAATGTTTATTTATTTGTTTTTGAGAGACACAGTGCAAGCAGGGGAAGGGCAGAGAGAGAGGGAGACACAGAATCTGAAGCAGGCTCCAGGATCTGAGCTGCCAGCCAGAGCCCGACACGGGCTCAACTCAAGAACTATGAGATCATGAAGTCAGATGCTTAACTAACTGAACCACCCTGGTGCCCTGATTTTTTTAAATCTGCTTTTAAAAATTAAAGACTTTGGTGAATTGTTTATTTACAAAGAGTATCAGGAAATCGCTGCAAGTCCCAAGGAACATTTAGGGGTTTCTTGATTCCCCAACCAGTCCCACAATATTGCTCATGGATCTGCTTTAAAAAGTTTGTACCCAAGGGGACCTGGGTGGTTTAGTCAGTTAAGAGTTTGACTCTTGATCTCAGCTCAGGCCATGATCTCATGGTTTGTGAGATTGAGCTTTCAGTTAGCTCTGTGCCAACATCACAGGAACCTGCTTGGGATTCTCTCTCCCCCTCTCTCTGCCCCTCCCCTGGTTGCATGCTGTCTCTCTCTCTCAAAATAAATAAGCTTTTAAAATACATAAATAAATAAAAATAACAATTTTGTACCCAGAGACCCACTATCCTTCACAATCAACATTTATAATCAAGCAACAATTGCCATCTCCTAGTTAATTAATGTGTGAGCCCTTCATAACGGTTTTTAGATATGATTTTTTTTTAATGTTTATTTATGTTTGAGAGGGAGAGCATGAGCAGAGGAGGGACAGAAAGAGAGAGGGAGACAGAATCCCAAGCAGGCTCCACGCTGTCAGCACAGAGCCCAACACAGGGTTCGACCTCACAAACTGCCAGATTACTACCTGCACCCAAATCAAGAGTCAGATGCTTAACCCACTGAGCCACCCAGGTGCCCCTCTTGTTTTTTTAAGTAGGCTCCACACCCAGTGTGGGGTTTGAATTCACAACCCCGAGATCCAGAGTCGTATGCTCCACTGACTGAGCCAGGCAGGCACCTCTAGATAGGCTCTTCTGTTTGAATATCAAAGCACCCCCCCCCCAAAAAAAACCCTCTAATACTGATGTTTCATCTTTTCTACAGCATCTCTGTCAGTCTAATTAATTATCATGTAAGGAGTGCAATTACTCGTTGTGTAGGTCCACTTCTGCTGTTTTGTATTTACACCATTTTAACAAGTTAACATTCAGGGTGAGTTCTGGCTCAATCTGGGACATGATTCAATTCTGGTGCCTTGTCAAAATGTAAAGGTCCCAGGTAAGTGCCCCAAATATAACTTTGATGTGGAAACACACTTAGATCATAATGGAGATACAAAAAAATCCTCATTTTATGAAATAGATACATTTTGGAAGGCCTCACATATTATAAATATCACATAGTTAAGCCGTTTACCATATGGATTAGTCGTTCTACCAGAGAAACATAAGTACTAGGACACATATATATATTTTTTTTAATTTTTTTTTTCAACGTTTATTTATTTTTGGGACAGAGAGAGACAGAGCATGAACAGGGGAGGGGCAGAGAGAGAGGGAGACACAGAATCGGAAACAGGCTCCAGGCTCTGAGCCATCAGCCCAGAGCCTGACGCGGGGCTCGAACTCACGGAGCGCGAGATCGTGACCTGGCTGAAGTCGGACGCTTAACCGACTGCGCCACCCAGGCGCCCCAGGACACATATATTTATTAAGAGATTTATTACAAGGAATTGCTTTAAACAATCCTGGAGGCTTGCTAGGCAGATCTGAAATCTGTAGGGCAGGCCAATATGCTGGAAACTCCTGGGAAGGATTAATGCTGCAGTCCTCAGGAAGAATTTCTCTTCCTCAGGTGAATCTCAGTTTTACCCCTAAGGGTTTCAACTGATTGGATAAGATCTGTTCAGATTATATGGGATAATATCTTTTACTTAAAGTCAACTGATTGTAGATGTTAATTACATCTATAAATACCTTCACAGCAATACCTAGATAAGTATTTGAATCACTGGGTACTATAGCTTCGCCAAGATGACACATAAAACTACCTTTCACACCCTAGGACCCACAAAGCCTGCAGATATTTCTGTTTACTAACTAAACTGCTACCCCCCGTGGCAGTAATGCAAGTTCATAATTCAGTTAGCTTGCCAGATTTGAAAATGTGCAGATTCTTGATTACATTTTAAAAATTTTGAGGATTCTCAATATTTCACACTCTACATAAAATATAATATTAATAAAGTAGGCTCCGCGCCCAGTGCAGACTCCATTGTGGTGCTTCAACTCACCACACTGAGAGCAAGACCTATATCTGATATCAAGAGTTGGAGGCTTAACTAACTGAGCCACCCAGGCACCCCACACTACAAAATTTTATGATTAAAACGCATGGTACAAGTAATTATTTTGTCTTACAATGTTGAAAGGTGAAAAGCTATGCCTTTATCTAATGTAATCAGGTGGAAGCTCTTACAGTTTTAGGGCCATGTAAGGAGACTATCTCAGGTGTCTATGTCCCTTTCAATCTCTCTTCAACCGTCCTCTTTCAATATCCTAGTCCAGTTCCCATCCCCCTTCCTCGAGGCTTTATACTCTTCCATATAGGAGGAGACATTTCCTTTCTTCCACTTTTTGAATCTTGCATACTTCAGTATCTTAGGCTTGACCAGATTTTGGCGACTACAGAGGGAGAGGGAGAGTCTAGTCCAGGGGCAATGGGTGCTCATCAAGTCAGGTTCAGTTTTCCCCAAATAAGCATAATGACTTGATTTCCTCACCAGTTCCCTAAGAAGTATGTACACCACTCCCAAATTAGCATTGATTTTACTCAGTGACAACACATTCTCTCTCAAGTGTGATCCCCCACCCCCAGCATTATTTCGTTAAGGAGCTTTTAACTCCTTTCTGAATCCAGCTTACAAGCATCATGACATTAGCTGGCACTATGTTAGCAAGGATAAACTACACCAACGCCATATCTCTTTCATAAAAAAATTGGGGGGTGGGGGGTAGGAGTGCATGAATAGGTCTCAGTTCCTGCTACAATAGACCTTTGGTAAATATTTGTTGAAATAAATATAATGACTTTCTTCTATGTGATAGGGACTCGAGGATGGTCTTTAAATGGTGATTAAATGTCCATCCTATGGCAATAAAAGATTTAATTCCTCCAAATAAACTTACATATTTCAAAATAGAAATGTCATACTTCCTCATGGAAATAATCTTGGATGAAAGAAATGCGCAATCGCCACTCAAACTTAGGTCATTATGGTTCATAATACGACATCATGATGGCACCTATTTCAGTGCTCTGCGCATCAATCCATACAGACAGAATACTGCTGTCTGGAATGGTAACAATTTTGTCATTTTAATTTTTTTTAACATTTTTAAATTTACTTTTGAGATACAGAGCACAAGTGGGGGAGGGGCAGCAGAGAGGGAGACAGAATCCCAAGCAGGCTCCAGGCTCTGAACTGTCAGCACTGAGCCTGACCTGGGGCTTGAACCCATGAACCATGTGATCATGATCTGAGCGGAAGTCATATGCTTAACAATTTAATCATTTTAAAAAAGGGAGTGAAGGGGCGCCTGGGTGGCGCAGTCGGTTAAGCGTCCGACTTCAGCCAGGTCACGATCTCGCGCTCCGTGAGTTCGAGCCCCGCGTCAGGCTCTGGGCTGATGGCTCAGAGCCTGGAGCCTGTTTCCGATTCTGTGTCTCCCTCTCTCTCTGCCCCTCCCCCGTTCATGCTCTGTCTCTCTCTGTCCCAAAAATAAATAAAAACGTTGAAAAAAAATTAAAAAAAAAAAAA